GGAGTGCCGAGTAGGTTGCGCTCAGCGTGAAACCAGTCGTGTGCACCCGGTCTAGCGCTGTGGGTGGCTAGCAGTTCCTGGTGGTAAGACGACTGCTTGTCGAGATGCTGAAAGCACACCGTATGGCACCAGAGCGGCGACCGTGAATAGACTTGCGAGACGATGGTGTTTCGTACTAATCGTTCGCAGACGTCCTCGCCAGGCTGAGAACGACGGCGCTGTGCGCTTCGGATCACTCGGATCGGACCTACGAGTCCGATAAGGGGGGGGAACCAGCGGCTAAAGCTTCTGAGTCAGTGTGTTAACCAATTCTCTAAAGGGAATCGGAACAGCTCCCACGCCACGTCATGTCCGCGGATGGTTGTTCTTGCTCTTGACACACAAGGTAGACACCGTCAGTAACGACGCATCTACTAACTTACAAACAGAATCTAATTGGATCTACCCCAGGCATAAGGCCGGCAGTAAAATAAGCACAAACAGAGTGTGCGCTACCGCAGACGTCTAAACCATTACAGAGGGTCCGACGGCGCTCGCGGTGTTGGCCGCAGTGTCTACCGGCTTCCTCGCAGGGAGCAGTATGACCTCCTAGATATCTGAACAGATGGTCAACGAGAGTGAAGAGGGCCAGGAAAGAGGTAGACGTACTGGCAGAATCGACCAGGGACATCACCGGGCGGTCGATACCGATGCCCCACCCGCCCGTCGGCGAGAGTGAAGCTCCAGACTGTCATAACAAGATCATCAGATAGAACGCGGATACAGCAGGGGATGATACGCACGCGTCAACGAACGTCTCATTGATACCCTGCACCTCGTCTACCTCACCCACTCCTCAAACCGCAGCAGCCGCTCGAGCAGATTGTTCAGTTGGTCTTACTGACGAAGACGGGGGAGATACAAGGACTCCACGAACTCGCCAACAAGCGTGTATTCGTCCGGGGTCGTTGCATTTGACATTACGCTGCGTAAAGACGTTGAGATTTTATAGTAATATCAGCGAGTGAAAAAGCAGACCTTCTGGCACAGCTCGCGCAGGAACTCATTCGCCTCTTCCACGTGCAGTGTCTTCCCCTGGCAGAAAATCCAGCTTCTCCAGCATCGTGATCATGTCGTATCGCGCCCATGGCCGCTTTGAGCCCAGCTCATAGACGTTCTCGCTGACCCCAGCGTCGGCTTTCTGACGGTGAAGTACTTCACAATACCCTCGATCAGGCACTCAGCGATGTCTATGGTGTCGTACATGTCCGCATGCGTCATACAGAATTCGAAGACCGAGAACTCGGGGTTGTGCGCCAGGTCGATGCCCTCGTTGTTGCGGAACACGCGTCCGATCTCGTGTGCCCGGCCCAGACTGCCGAAAACGAGCTGCTTTGGGTGGAGCTCAGGAGCGATGCGGAGGTCTAAATTGAGGCCGGGGACGTTGTGATGCGCGACGAATGGTTTCGCAGTCGCATCGCCAGCGATTATCGGCGTCTCGGCCTCGAGAAAGCCGAGGATGCACCTTCTGGCCCTCGTCGTGGAGATGCACAAATATTGCGGATACGACGCTGCCCTCGGTCGCCTCTCCGGATTTGATCTTGCGTTCAGATTCAGGACCATACTTTTCAATGAAGTGGGGAAGCGATAGCGGGAGCTGAAGTTGTGAAGGCTGGGGTTGCGGCTAGCTTGCAGATGTTTGGTTTGAGGTTGAGGCTCCCTTTGTTTCCTCGAGGGTTCGGCTCGGTTCCTTGGGCAGTTCGCCTAGAAATAAATTTAGTTGGGTCCAACAAGGGAAGGAGGGGTAGCGCACCCACTGCCGGCTTGAGCAGTTGGCGTAGGAGAAAGCGCCGTTTAAGGGGCCCTTGTCTCTGCGAACACTGAGTTGACCGTCTCATTTCGACCCCGTTCGCGAGTTCGATGATAAATGACCGGTAAGGCGAGGACATGTTCATCTATTTCCCGTTTGTCACACTTGTGAAGCTGGGAGTCTGGCAGAAGGGATGAGCGCACCCAGAACGATATCCCGGCCGTCGCAGTGATGCACAGCATACGAGCTGTATACGCTGAGCGGGCGCATAGCAGGAGCGAAATGGCGGGTTTGATACAGAGCTTGTGCAGGCCGACTTGCGTAAGGCCGTCTAGCACGCACGAGTACCTAGCAGAGGACGCGACGGCGCTATATAGCAACGCTCATCCGCGGGTAAGGGCCAAGATCGATTTGCAGGGAGGGATGCCCTTGAAGGGTAGTCGCCGGCAGTGCCAGATTTCGTGGCAGCCCGGGTGACGGACGACGAAGACAAGGCTCGCTTTGAACCAGTGGGCGGTAGAGATCTTATTGATGCATTGCCATTTATGCTCAACCAGCTATCCTCAGGACGCGCCCTAGATGACGGCGGCTTGGTGAGTAAGGCTCGTGGAAGATGAGATCGTCTACGCACCCCATTGACGTCTCAAGCCCATACTATGTGCCCGGGTGCATGTAGGACACGCCGAACACTGTGCCATCAATGACAAGCTCGACGGTGACCTGTTCGAGTTGGATCGGTTTGAAGGTATGTTTAGCTTCCTGCGGGCACGGTTATTACAATATACTCGGGAAGCGGCAGCGCGAGATAACTTACTACCAAGATACACAGTCAGAAAGGCTGACACCTTTGCAGACGTGACGCAGCGCCGAGAAGAAGGAGGAGAGCGAAAGAACAGAGGGGATCTTACTACTTAGGTGCTTGAGAACAAGAGCGGGGTGAAGCTTTAACTTTAGCGCTTAGATTTGACGTTTAGCGCTCGCGTGCTCCGCCGCAATATAAGTATTTTTGCCACCGTGTTGTCTACGTCTATCGACTCAGACTCGTGCGTGCAGTTCATGCAAGTTGACCTGCACAAGCTCGATACACACCTCACTATTCTTAAGTCTTTTGCCACGTGGCCTGCTCACCCGTAAATATCACCTTCGTTTGTGCATTCACAATTTTGCCACCAATACACCGTGTAAACCATGCCAGTGTGGATGTCGATACGGTCAAAAATTGTCCACAGAGGAGATGCGGAGCTGGGAAGTGCCGGCGTCGACCGGCTGTATTAGGTATGTCGGATCAATTGTCGATAAGATAACAAAGGACAAAGCGTGGAGTGACACAACTCAACGAATTGGTTGAACCGCGA